AAGGATCTCTGATTATCTTACCTACTTTTACTTTTTCACCCTCTGATGCCGTAAGACGTCTAGGGAAGATACAGTTTTCTACGGGCGGCTAACTCTGCAGCTCTTTCAATTGGGATATTATAATTTCTCGTGGTTTTCTTGACTCCTTCAATCCATCTTTCGTGTGGTCTTCTTCTTCCTTTATAGCCTGGGTACTCTGTGTTATAATACATGTATAGGCTCTCGAGGCTGGCTGGCTAGGTGATATTCGTAACAACAGGTGGCCAAACCATGTTATACTCTGTTTTTCTATTTACATGCAGGCAGGACTCAGTGCCAATAGTTGCTCTTTCTTCTTCATTTCTCTGCCTGTCTCTTCTGGTAATGTTAAGGGTTTTGCGGAGACAATTCGTCTCGTATGCGGTGATTTTGTTTTCATTGGATTTACTTAATGACCAGGTCTGGTTGTGGAAGCTTGTCTCACGGCGATAAATATCTGTGCTGAGAGAGAAACCAGTTATCGGCTCTACCCGTTCTACTGTTCCTCTTTGGCTTGTTTCTATTTGTGTTTGAAACTGGCAGTGGGTAATTAGCAGCTGGTGCTTTGGTGTGGTTTGCTCCGTTCCGTCATCTATCAAACAGTCATCCCCAGTATCTCTCCTCCTTTTATGTGTATGTTGCTGTCCGATAACATCTCTGATCTGTGGCACTCAACTGACGTATTTGTTTCGCAATTACCGTAAAACTCTTACTAAAACAAAACAAAACTATTACTGACATCAACAAGAACACCCCACCCCTCCTTTAAACACAAAAAGTAAAGATCCTTATTGTTGCTCTTAAGTTATCCTGTTCGTTTCCACCGTCTGTGTTTAACTTGTTAGTGTTGTGTTTGGAAAATATGCGCTTGCAATGGCAGTGCAACTGCTTTGTGTAGGAACAGAACCTCGAATACAATGCTCTGGGTGAAGAGTCAAGAGAGCAAGAACGGAGAAGCTCGTGGTATAGAAACGTACAGGTCAAGGGTCATGGTTCACCTTTGAAAGGCAGCTGACTGATCCCTACTGCACACATTTATTGGTCAGAGTGGTGATTTTTTAGTGGAATGAATATTGGCGGGAGGGGTGGATGGATGGAGGGATAGTGTGCGTGTGTGTGTGTGTGTGTGTTTGTTTGTTTGTGTGTGTGTGTGTGTGTGTGTGTG